AAATTTACACCAACACTAGGTGGCATTATACTCAGTCTGTTGTTGTATTAGCTCTGAAAGAGTCAATGAATTTTAACACAGCATATTTAACACTGCGAAATTTACTGTGTTGGCTCTGACACTCATCAATAAATGTAGAGGTCAGACTGTGTTTGGTATCGAGTATGTGCTGAATTTTACTAAAAACCGAGCTGAAGTCCATTTCATGTTACTATTGAATCATTGACTAGTGCAAAGGAAATAGGATGCTATTGATCTCCAGCGGAGGATTGGATTTCCAGCTGGGAGAGGATACCGGTCTCAGTGTGCAATAGCAGGAGAAGATAACAGAGTGGACTATATATAACCTTTAGCTGGCAGTCAATAGTCGGGGGAATAAATGAAACGGTGACTAAATGCAATCTTTGCCACTAATTCCTCCCAATCGATTGCCAAGTTTGTGACACAGATCTCTTGATATTGAAAATAAATCAAGCGGAAATTAGAGGAAGGTGCCGTCTTAGATCAGGCCCCTTGAAGTTTTCCTCGTTATCCGATCACTTCCACTTTTTTTCCCAGCGCTTTATGGTACATTTCTTCTTTTTGACAGGACTGTCTCAGTGCAGTTTGCGGTCTATTTCTCCAGCCCTGTCACGATGCAGAGAAAACTCTTCTTGATCGTGCTTTTCCTTCCTATTAAGAAGCAAATATTCCAATCAGGCACTGGGCTCTTTCTGCATGGAGTTTGCATGTTCCCTCTGTGCATATGTGGCTCTTTCCAGGTACTCTGGTTTCAACAGTATGAACTTTAGATTATTTGATCTTTCTAATCTGAGTGTGTGCATACACGGTTGTCCTGTGATGGACGAAGGCCTGAGCTCGACATATTTTAAATACAATTTTACTGCTTTTGTTTTTAGACCACCTTTTAAGTAAGCAGTGCAACGTCTCCTGTTTTGGTTTAACGTCTTCCGGCTCCATCTTGTCGCTTGCTGTACGTTAAGGGTGAGTCAGGTGCAAATCTTCTGGGATGTGACTGAAAGAATCCCATCTCCACGCCTGCTCAAGCGGAGCGGCATGCTGTGTGCTGCGTGTGTTGTCTTTTGGCTACAATAAGTAGATCAACACATCTTTATATTGTGCATTCTCGATTTGTGTTTTCAGAATATATCAAATGCTCCTTAGAAGTTTGAGCCAACCAGACGGTCAAGCTAATAATTCCGGAGTGGATTTCAGGTCAGGCTCGGGCCGTAAATCTAAACTCTCCTTCCGGTCCTGGTTGTCACTATGAAGAGAGTGAAGTCAAGCAGCAGCCAAATAATCTTTCCAGTTTCAGTACGATAAAGACAGACAACGTCTCGGAGAGAAGGAGGTAGCGGCGCTTGACCAACTACAAGATGACCCAGATGACCATGTGGTCTGACTTAGAGCGAGGGTGTTTATACACGCCTCATGTTTGCAGCAGTTTTATGACTTTGCATATTTGCGTGTGTGTGTGTGTGTGTGTGTGTGTGTGTGTGTGTGTGTGTGTGTGTGTGTGTGTGTGTGGTCCCGCAGCGGGGAAAGGGAGGAGGTGAGTATTTGTCCTCAGACCTGACTGACCTCTTATGTTATCGTTCTGTAATTCATCCCAGTGGCATCTGGGCATCTCTGCCGCCTTTGGTGAAGTGTGAGGATCGGAGTCGTGGGTTGTTTGGCCGGGGTGTCGGGATGGGGGTGAAGAGTGTGTGTGTGTGTGTGTGTGTGTGTGTCATGGTTTCAACACTCCCCTCAGAGCGCATCCATCTGGACATTAGTGGATTTATTGTTTTGACACCCGCAGCACGAGAAATTGCTCTTCATCTCTTTATAAAAAAATAACAAAAAACATGATGAAATAGGGCAGATCAATATTTTTAACGGGAGTGTTTGTAAGTTACAGCGAATGTCCTTAACATCTCTGAGTTGATCTGAACTCTTCCAATATTCCAGACTGCAGTTCTCCACCTTACCAAATGCATTTCATATCATACAAAAGGCTCAGAACCAGAATAGTTCATACAATTTATTGTATAACAGGAGGCATATAAAGTGCAGTATGCAGATATCACATTCACTTATGCTGGGACAAGATTATAGAGTTTACATCGATAAACTAGCCGTATTTAAAACATAAATGTGATTACACCAAGGGGGGAAAAATGGGGCATGATAAGTTTCCTTTGACGTTTACACAATAAAAAATATTCATGTGGTTTCTGAGAAATATCCGTTTAAAGTGCTCGGGTTAATCTCAGCTTCCATGTCGACAGACTTTAAGTCTTTGTAAACATTTAAACATTAAAAGTACTCGTTAAAGTGCCAAACAAAGCAGGTGTAGCCATTTATTTTGTCCAGTGGGAAGCGATTGGAGCCCACGGGATTTTTAACAGTCTAAAATCCAACTCCAAGAAAATGATTCCCCGTTTACCACAAAAACAACATTTGTGAAGGATAAATTGTGCAAGCGGCACCATATGCACCAACTTTAAACACCCATTAAAACATCAGCATCAAGCAAACTGTCGAGATTATATTTTTTCCCTTTTTGTTGCATATTTTTGAGTTAATCTTACAGCATAAGAAGTAAGGGGAAAAGGCACAAAGGCTTCACAAAAAGGCCTTTTGTCACTTGAATGCCTGGATTCTGCAGCGTAAAAGAAGATGATGCTTAATAATACCACAGGATGCAGGTGCAGCTAAAGAAACTGGAAGCAGGCAAGACCTTTGATGGCTTTCGAGTCTTTAAACAGCAACTGCACCAATGTTACAAGTATTTAAAAGTCACTGGACAGACACGTCTGATCAGCAGCTCTCTGCAAAGGAGGAGAAAAGTACACAAATCACTCAAACTGTTACGGCAAACACACAACACCAGAGTTATTCTATCGCTTTCTGCAGCTCGGCCACCAAGGTTATTGTACATGACCACAGTTTCCCTCCTCCCCACTCATTCGCCTTTTCAATCGTAAAGTTCATAACCAAATCCATTAAGATCAAAAAGATCTTTGCATGGGTCTTTCAACGTTCTTGCCATTCCTTGGAAATGACGACAGCCGAGGAAGGCGTGGCACCCGGCGCCTTTCTAGGCTGACAGATGTTTGGCTTTCCCACATCTGCAGTTTCCAGGAACGTATGAGGCTTCAACGCAGCGCACACAGGGAGAACCTTCGTCACGTCAACGTTTTGTAGATCATGTCAGCGGGGAAAAAACCCCCAAAGACAAATTAGAAGTGTATTTCTTCTCCTTGCGTTTTGACGCGTTTTTTCAAACAACTGCTGCAGCAAATGTTACAGCATGCAAATGTAGCGCCAGCTCTGCTCTGGCTGCTGAAATGACTCGGATAATCTGATCTCCAAAGATTATGGCTCTGGATTTACAGTATTCTGTAAATCCAGTCTTCTGTAAATCCAGTCTGTATTCGACTTTCTGTCCAACTCGAGCCAGAGAGAGGAGTGACATCACAGCTCTTCCACCGGCTTCCTGGTGTTACTTTTGACTCCACTGTTGGACATGTTAAAGTTTAGCTAACAATGTGTTCAGAGCGAAGGTCAACTGCAGACGGACATGAACACTGGCACCAGTGACTCACGGCTGGAGGAGCATTTATTGTGGAGGCTATAAATCGCTGGCACGGAAGCTTCATAAACAGCATCGTTGATAAAAACATGAAAACATGCAACTTGTTGCTTTAAATGGTCATATTGTTTGAGATTTTCCACATTAAAGCTACAAGATTTGTTGTGTTTTATTGTTTTTTGATAGATTAACACAAAACAGGGAGTAGTAGGTGGCAACAAAGAGATGCATAATTTTAAGATCATTACAAATGAAAATATATATAAACCGTGGCGTACGTTTGGATTCATCTGCTAGGAGTGAACCTTTCATTATTTGTTTCCAGCAACTAAAAACTTATAGGGACTGGCTTGTTTGTCCTTTGAAAAATGATTAAGGCTCAGTCAGATTTAATGGGGAGCATCTGTGAAATGAAAATGTCAAGTCTTGCTACAGTTGTACAATCAGTCTTGGGTCTGGACTTTAACTAGTCCACGGGCTTTGAACTGCAGGGTTTCTTCCAGGATTGTCCCGTTTTCAGCTCCGTCCATTTTCCCGTCGACCATTCATTGACGGGAAAACGGAGTACAGGTAAAACGAGTACATGTGGACGCGATAGTCTTCTCATTTTTAGAAGTAAACGTTTTTGAAAAATGCATAACCCTTTTTATTTAAGAATAAAGATCCACCTTGTGTTGAAAAATCATTTGCCATCTGTAAATCTAAAAATTTCAGTGGTTCAAATAGTAACGCAAGATAAAGATCTGCTGCTACACTGAAAAAAAAGGATTATAAAAAGATCCCATGAAAGTTTCACAGTTGAACTTTTCTAACTTCCAGTAAAAGCCAACGGTGCTACAATGTAAAAATCTGTAGCATCAATCCAGATTGATTCTTTTCCCCCTTCTCTAAACGTCTGCAGCATATTTTTCTTTATGGGAAAAAAAAAATGCTCCAATACTTCAAGGCTTGTAGCCAAACCTCAGTGACCCGTGGTGAAACCTCAGTAAGAAGCCCTCAATGAGTCAAAATATTAACAAAAGAACAGCAACTGAACGCAGGATATTTAAAATACAAACAAATCAGAAATAAGGTAGAAATTTGCTGCTGCTTAGTAGAAATGTTGAAATATCTTCTCTCTAATTTCTTAATTCTTTTTGCGCTTTGTCTTCCGAACAGTAAAGGCAGATACAATTTTAAAAGTGAGTCTAATCGCACACGTCTTACACAATTTAAAGCCAACGCCGTACGAAAAGGCTGAAAAGGCAAAAGTTTAAATGTTCATTCAACATCGTCTGTTCTTGTTCTGGATCTGTAGCCTAAAAATAATCAAGATGGCAAACCAGACAGAAGCATGAGCAATGCCCAACTCAACTTGAGTGAAAATGGGTCGGAGATGCACAAAACATGGAAAGAATAAAAATCAATAAATAAATGAGCTTCCTTTTCTTAAAATACAGCTTTTATTTGTGAATTTACACAGATTAGCAACACATCTAAAAGCAACTCCATTAGATAACCATTTATATAGGATTTTCACAGGTCACAAAGTAGCTTGGCTCATTCTGACATGCCAAAGCAAAAAAAAAAGAAAAATGCATTTTCTCTTTCTGACAGGAAAACAAAAAATGGATAGAGGCATTAGTAAAGCAAGGTGCAAACTGTTAAAAACACAAGAGGAGAAAATAAAAAAAAGAAAGAAAGAATGAAATGCACATTCAGTTCATCTGAGAGCAGGATGAGCTCATGAAATACTTAGGAGGCCTGGAGCTCTCTGCAAACTAAAAGGAAAGATAGCGTACTGTGGTACCAATGGAGGATGGAGGGGAAAAAAAAGAAGACATTTTCAAAAGGAGAGATGTTCCGGAAGGAGGAAAGAAAAAGACAATCCGAGTGATAAAAGGAAACATGGTGTGTTAGTTTCAGCTCGTCCATTCCTGCTTCTAGCTACAACACACAAACTCCAGTTCCAAAGTCGCGTCTCGCTTCCTTTCGTCTTCCAGTTGCGCGACTCCGCCCCACACCCACCCACCCTCTCCCAGACCCCGGGAAGCCGCCGTTTAACGCAGCTAAAGATGCTCCCGCCCTCCAAATCCAATATTTCACATTGCTAGCTGGGATATTGGTACATTTATTTAATTGGCGATGGGAGGATGGGGATACGCCACAAGACATCACCACCGGTTTGGGCTGAGCAGAGTTCAGCCGAGGGTCATCCGACTGCGGCGAGATTGTTTTGAGAAACGCATAACTGGGCTCAGAGTGGGATCAAATGAAAACCAAAGCATCCATCGTGTCCCGTTCCAGTTCTTAAAGGAAATTAGGACAAATCAAGTATGTGGCTATGAGTCGGGAGCTTTCGGAGGCCAGAGGAGAGTCAGTGCAGTCGCCGGGGATTTTTGTAAATGTTTCACAGAGAAGAACCGTGAAGCCTGAGCAGGCAGATGAGAATCGCAACCTTTGTCTTAATGAAGCTGGAAAAGAAAATACAGTCTGGCGTTAAGAAAAAACACACCAGGCTCCCAGTTCTCAGGCCTCGTTCACACACAGCCGAGATGTTTTTAGGAAAACGGAGATTTTCCACGCCGCTTGCAGGCAACAACACCTGAGATATCTTTTGGAAACGCTTTTAAAAGTGGAGATTAAGAGGAAAAAACGAAAACAGATAAAAAGATTGAGTGCAAACCGGGACTATTGAGTTGGGAAATGTTTACATTTTGTCAAATATTTCCTGAGTGCTTTTTCCAAGAGAGTAGAGCAGATTCAGATTAGCTTTTGTCACAACTTACTTTTCAAAGTACACGTCGCTTTGTGCTTCCACTCGATGCAAGTATTTGAGAAAGCCAAACAAAACTTACCAGCTTATTACACGTTTTAATCGCCACCTAAAGAACTCGCTTTCTTATTTAGCCAGGAAATCCAGTTAAAACAAGGGATGAACGGCACATCGGCTTCAACACCGGTACTGGTCCAATAAGTAAAACTGAGCAGACGTTACGAACTGATGTTTATTTCCATCTTGTTGTGGTTTATGTGAGTGTTTTGGACATAGTTGGTCATGTGGTGTTTGTCAAATGGTCTGTAAATATAAATTTTTGGCTACATTGGCATTGGATATCAACATTGGCCGACATTTTCATATTGGTGTATCGCTACTTAAAACTAAGGACTTTATCCCAGTTTACACAGAGTAAAGCGACTCTTGAAAGCGTTAAAGCTGCCATTTGACAAAGGCTTAACGCCAACAAAAAGAGAAAAAAAATCAGCTTAGATTTGAGAAGAAGAGTCGTCGACGCTGACGAAGCAGCATTTTGAAGTGTCAAGAATCGAGAAGCATCATTAATGGATTCAAAGAGAGCCGCGGAGCCGAACGAGGTACGGCTCGCGCAAACGTAACGAAAGCAGGACAGAAAATAAGTAGTCTAAAAGAAGTGTGTCCTCTGGTCAGACTGGACAAAGCCACAGCTTGTTGGCCAGGGAGGCATCACTCTTGGGAGAGGTCTGTGACACAAAGAACACCGGCCTGTACAGCGCCACACGGTGGTGGGAGGACTATGGACACCACAAAGCACTGACGTGACTCCTACAGCTAGAAAACCATCAATGATGTGCCAGGGACTTACAAATGACGACATTGGAGATCTTTCTGAAATAATTTGTTTTTAAATGGAGAGTAAAATAATGTAAGCATCCAAAATAAGCCGGAGATGCTTTCTTTTCCATTTTGATGCATTTGTTATTGATAATGTCACCCCCTGCTGTCATTGTATTACATTTGACTGGACTCTGAATAAGATTGTGCAGACAAGGGTATAATCAGAAACGGATCAAGAAAGTATCTGTTTAACAAAACATTCAAGGGCCGATAGGTTGACGCGTTCCGAACAACAACAAAGACATTAACAGGATCCGATCAAAACCTTTTTTTTTATTTCACCCGAGATTTTCCCTCTCTTTTCTTTCCGCTCACTTTCTTGGCCCTGACTTTCCTCGAACACCATTCCTCACTTGCCACTTGCGCAAATTCTACCGAATACTTCATAATCTCCTTCGCCGGTGAAAGAAAAAAACCCAAAAACAAAACACAAAAAAAAAAAAAAAAAAACACGATATTCTACGATAATAGAAGCTCAGATTTGCAAGTTGACAGCCAGGATTTCAACATTCCTGTGCTAAGTAGCGACTGGGAGTTCCTCGGGATTACGACGCTCGCCATGAGATCCGGTTCTCGCTAACGCAGGCGCTACGCCGGGACTCCAGTCCAGAAGTGTGTGGGACAGAGTGAAATTTTCTCATGGTATTTACTCAAAAATACGTAACATAATTGATACCATTTCGAATTTTTTAAAAGAGCAACAATTATTTGACACATCATATGACATTATTATGTTCGCTGTACCCGTCTGTTATTTTGAGACGTCGACCAAATGAAACCTGCTGGGTTTTGTAGTAGTTTGTAAATCCCTGCAGTCCCTTAAACGAGTGGTAGGTGGCGCTCCTTCAGTTTTAGCACTGAATGTGTGTGTTTGGACCAATAATTGAAGGAATTATTTTTAAAGTTGGATGCATCAGCTGGATATTTAATGACTGACAAATATAAACTTGTCAAAAAGATTTCAGTCACGATCAGGAAATCAGAATATATTTCCTCGTTTGTCAGATTAAAAGTACCTTTTTAATAATAACCTCTAAACAGGCATAAAACTTTTAATAAAGCCCACATTTCTGTTTTAAAGTGTTTTTTTTGTTGTTGTTTTTTTTATATTAGGCTTAGGTAAAAATTCAATCTTAAATGTTTTCAGTTACAAAAAAAATAACATTTTATTTATGGGATCGATTGTGTGGTGTTTAGGTTGTTGTGTTTTATTTCGGACACTTAAAATATCTTCCAGGTCCAGCATGGAGTGTACTGAACAAAACAGCACATTTGCATATATTGTAAATGATCTCAAAACGACAAAATTATCATTTATCGCAGTAATTTCTGGGACAATTTATCACCCAGAAAAATGTGTTATTGTGACAGCTGTAGTGTCAGTTACTGCAATACATGATCTTATGATAATTTATTGAGATGCACCTATATGAGACTGAAACTGGTAACTGGCCCAAGCCAAGTGCAAGACGGGGCTGACGGACTTAAAGCTGCATTGAAAACATTTAAAAAAAAAATCACATTTCATAAAACAAACTGCGGTTTCTTTACTAAGACAAGATTTTCCCCCAGTCATTTTGGCAAACAAAAACAACAGCGGAGAGAGATGAAGAGGTCGCCATATAAAAATGCTACATAAATACGAGATAATGTAGTTAGAAGCAGCCAGAATTCATCCTCGCCGTCGACGCAGACGACCTTTACCTGCATCTATAAACCACAATCCTCCTTTCGGAGAAATTAGTCACAAAGAGTAACTTGGGAGCCGCAGCAAATACATCAGCTCAAATTCTCCGACTATTCTTTCCCAAAACTATTTTTCCAGTGTGATGTTACATTTTCTCGTTTTCTGTGCAGACAAAGCGAGACAAAATACGAGCGAGGTGGAATATTAAAGAATATATGAAGGACAAAGAGGCTTCCAGTTTAGTATCGAGCCGAGGTTAGAAAAAAGGGGAAGAGGAGCCAGTTATTCAGGATCTACAAGTGACACTTCCAAGGAGCGAGTTGAGAGAACCGCATGAGATAATCAGGTGTGCAGACACTCCCATGCCTGCCCTTTTTTTTTTTATATCTCTTCCATCTGCTGCAGCTTTAATCGGTGGGCCCAAAATCTCACAAACATTCTTTCTTTGCAAAATGACTTTTTCATAAAAATTCCAAACTGTTGTTTTTTTTTTCTTTTTTCTTGTTAAATCTTCCATCTGCCTTTTGTACATAAAACCTCTGGTTAAAAAAATCCAATATAAAAAAAAAAAAAAAAAAAAAAAAAAAGAAGGGGGAATTTGACACCCTCATTCCGCGGGCGCGCTCTTCCCGGCTTCGCCCGCTCGCTCCTCTCAGGCCTCCGTCTTCTCTTTCTTTTTGTTTTTCTTCAGGAACGACGGCGTGCGGAACTTCTTCTTCTTCTTGGTGTTGGGCGACTTGGAGGGGGAGCTCTCGGGAGACAGCGGCTCCTCGATCTTCTCGCCGGGTCGCACGGTGATCTCCACGCTCTCCACGCTGGTGGTCAGCTGACTGACGCGCTTGGAGAGCTCGTCGTCGTGGTTGTCCTTGCCGTTCATCAGGCCCGTGTGGTTCTCTGGAGGGAGGAGAGGAAGGCAGCGTGAAGATAGCACCTAATTAAAAAACATACCATAGATTTATCACTTATTATGTTTGCGAACCCTGCTGCAGTCTTACGATTAGATCCAGCCAGCTTGTTACTCTTTGCGTGGTCCGTCGGGATCACACTGAACCCGAGTGCGCTTTTACAAGCTTTTTTTTTGTGTGTGGTTTTGGGAACTGACGGTCTCACGGGACAACCGCAGACGCTTTCCACGCTCCTCTTGAGCTGTTTTCTATCACCTTATTTCTCTTTGAGCCTTTTAAAAAGACCATATTTTCTACGCATGTATTTATACTAGGAATGCGCGATACAACAACATCAGTCCATCCATTTGTGATTTTAATTAAATTTCTTATTTAGACAGAAATACCGTAATTGCAAAATCAAGTTTTGTTTTTTGTTGACACTGGCAGAACATAAACAACGATTTGCGCACATATGTAATGGAAATGCCGCGACTTTCAATACTGCCGCAAACAAACCAAACAATCTGCAAAGGTAATTTTGTTCAGTGATTTAATGACAAAAACAATGAACTGGACCAACGTCCCATTAGGAGCCTTTGGTCAGCATTCAAAAGGGAGTGAAACAAAAAAGCAAGAAAGGTTGAATCTCAGTCATTAATATTCCTGTAAATATTAAAACTTTCCATAAACTTGATGCTTTTCTCAATATAAAATATCACTCGTCTTAAAACATTTGCTCATGGCTGCACAGAGTATCAGCTTATCATACAAAGCATGTTACTGTGCGGATGTTTTCCTCCCGGAGAACAGGATTTACCAAACTCCCCTTCAAACCGCGCTCAACTTCCCTTTCCCTCTCATGATGCTCCACATATTTTGTAATTTACATCATGTGAAAATAATTAATAAAATCCAGCGACCTCATGGCCCAGAGAGTCCGCCCTCCTTTCCAATTTCACAAAACAGTGTCACGAACTCCACTCTCACAACAGCAGTTCACGTAAACGTTGCTCATACTGACCTACCTGTATTTACACCTGAGAACAAGGTGTAAATGTTCTGACTTAACGGTGACCTGGTTTCAGCGCGAGAACCGTCTGACCCCGCAGCCATGGCGTCAGAACATGTGAGCCTGGGCGATGTTGGGTGGGGTTTCTCGTGTTTGCGCTGGGAGGAAGTGGACAGGACCTCGATTCCTGGGTGGCGTTATTTACGACCGCTAATGGGTCGAGTGTGATCTCTGTGTCTCTTTGAGGAGCATTAACCAGTTTCAGGTGTCAGATGTGAGAAGCAACGTGTTAAAGGAGAAAATACTGCAGGTCGACACGGCGGCGGGCGGCAAATTAAGTCGCCCGTCATCCAGTGGAAGACAGAAAGAGGAAAAAAAGATGATTTCCCTAAGTTAGTCTTTAGACTTTGTGTATTTTATTTTGTGGAAGCTTTAAAGGAATATAAAAAAAAAACACTTGAGTTTGTCCCTCCATAAAGAGTCCACCTTATTGAGGACACTTTATGCTCGTTTTCAGCTGAAATAAACACACTATGGAATATTAACTTTAATTATTTGCCTGTTTTCATAGAGCTGCTTTTTTTTAAACAGTGAATTATTGAATGGATGCAGACAGCTTAGTGTGCTGCTAACGGATTTCGCCTGCTTTCACTTTGTTACACTGAAATATTTCGGACGAAGCGAGTCTGATGTCAAATGTTAATATCAGACATTTTTTCTAACATCACCAAATACACAACGCAGCATCCTAGTAATGATTTTACTCTCGAAGAAAATAAAGGCAAGCTAAACGGACCCGGCCGTAAACCAAACAGCTGCTGGCATCAGGTTGAGAGTTTGTTGTTCGCCATTCTTGCTTCTTGTGTTCATGGCAACCTTGTGCGGACGCTTGCTTCGGTCAGGGGGAGCAAAAAGCTTTCTGGGCCTTTTATAAAATAATGCATTACCTACCATGTACACAAGTTATAATTTGATAACTCACTTTCTAAATGGCAGATATCAGCAGTGAAAGCTTTTGAAAACGAGCAACTCACATTTGCTAGCATGATGGATTTTCTAATTAAAAGCCCCAGTTTCATAATGTTTCACGTTGTACCCAAGTGAATTATAACTTTCATCATAACTTGATGAAAGAACATACTTTAGAATACATATTCTTGTTTATGTATATGTATTTATAGCTGGAAGTAAAGAAATAATAGACGTTGATTAGGACAAAACATCAAACAACTTCATCTTAAAAGCTTTGGCTTGTTCCAAAATGATTAATTCACAATCAAGTTCAAACAAATGAGTAGAAAAAGCCTTGCAAATTCAAATCCGTTAGTTTTCGTTAGCGTCTCACTGGCATGCTCAAATGGTGACGGACATCAGATTTAAGAGACGGACAGCAGTGCAATCTGCCTCCCTCTGTGTGAGCGATACCTTCTTTAGCCGGAGTGCTTTGCGGAGACTGGGTGACAGACAGAGACTGCGAGAGCGTGGAGCCGTCGTCGGAGGTTAGCTCGTGCTCGCCATCTGCAGGGAGGTCGGTCGGCGAGGAACGGGTGAGAAGGTTGCGGCACGGCGTTGGAGTGGGTGGGTGTGTTAAAGTAGAGGGACGACAGAGGGAGTGAGTGGGATGAGAGGTTGGAGGGATTTGAGAGGGAGGGGAGGGGAGAGATTAGCGACAACACACACAGACACATGTTAGAATCAGGCCATGCACAGCTGGTTTGGAAAAGAAAATCCTTGTCTGCTGATGGCCGGGCTCGCTCTCCGCCATCGCTCTGTTTCTGTGGGTGGCTGAGCTCGCATTGCAACAGGCTGGGACTCGATATCCCAGTAAGGAGGCAGATGCTCTGAGCGGCGGCTCGTTGACCACAAGGAGCAGCTAGCCCCCCACTCGCCACAGTGACGCCTTTACGACACTACAAAACCTAAGTGTCAACTTTGACCCATACGTAAAGGCGTTAAAAAGGCCTGGGAATGAACTGTCGCTATGCAGATGTGGCGAGTCCAACATGGTGGTTCACGATGACAAGCAATCTAACAAGAATCCCAGTTCAGCCCAGAGCTTGATATTCTCTCCACCATGCAGAATAACAGAGGATTAGGCTCATTTTCTTTTTTTCTCAATTTCAAGCTAGACGCGTCTGAATTTGTCCAAAAGTCCAATCACAGTGTCAATGTGTGGGATTCCAGTTGGAGCTGCAGCACAGCTCAAAGTTACATTTGTGTTGGTAGGACAGGAAAGGCTTTTATTCTGTTAGCATTATAAATAACTGATGTAGACACTAGAGTAAGTGGAATGGTTGTTATGCAGACTTTCTGGGTTAGAGATGGTTTTCCTGCCTCCCTCACCGTCCTGCTGACTATAGCGGATAGATAAATGTGAGTTTTCATCCATAAATGCAAGCAAGTTAAAGTGTTTTTGTACCATTTTCCTACGACTTATTTTATACCCATTTTGACAACGAGCTACTCAAAAAGGAGCTTGTGACATGAAATACGTCACAGAGCATAACTTCCGAAAAAGACACAAAGAATCTGATCAAGTTACTGTAGAAATTAAAAGAAGAATTAGTCATTTATTTTCCTTTTTTTTAAAGAGAATTTTTATTATAGGGACTTTTTTTTTCTACCACAGAATGAACGTACTTAACTCCTCGACTGTCTCCTTCAAAATGTTAGTCAATGGGTCTGCGAGGGCACCGACTTCATCATGACGTAAAACAAATGTTACATTTTCTCAAAAATGGCAGTTTATAAAAAAAAATAAATAAAAAAGCTAACACATCTTCACCGAGGTTTTCCCACTGACCAGCGTTAGCGGTGCAGCGTTGACAAGTTTCTTAGCTCAAAGCCAAGCCTTGCATTAGCAGCTTCGTTCGTCTCAAACGTGAGTCAAGTTTGAAGAGTTACAAAGTCGGCCTTCTGTCAACTGAAGAACATTTATCAGTATTAAAAGACTAACATCTCAGCAAGATCTAGAGAAACTCATCCATAAATATTAATCAATAAAAAGTACTTTTCATAGCTGCATGGGTTTGCACTTATATTTTATACCAAGTTTTGTTGGATTCCAAACGATGAGCATCCACAACGTACAGGAGACGATCAGAACTCAACCTGCAACCAATTTCACATTAGTGTGTGTGTGTGTGTGTGTGTGTGCAGCATGTCTCGGGCCTCTCCAGATGGACTTCAGCTTGCATCCAGATGGGTCACCGGGGATTCGTGGGGCTGTGGGGGCAACAGTGTCATAGCAATGGGCTGTGCTCGTGTGGAGGGTGTGAAGACCTGCTGTTGGTTCAGTCTGCTGTGTTAGTCACGCTGGCCTGTCACGCAGGCGCTTTCATATGCACACGACGGTGCAGAACATTTGGACGTGCACCGCACACATGCGTGAACACATGCCCTTCGCCCGTACACACATTAAAACAGCTACATGGCCCAGCGAGCCCAGAGCTCTGCAGAACCACGAGCGAACACCTTCGCCTCTGTCTGCTGACTATCGACTTTCTGATTGTCAATAGTCGACGAGAGAGAGAGATAATGTGATTAGCACTGACTCTGAGTGTGCGCAGGCAGAGCGGTGCTATCGGAAGCAGCCAAGCCTTTCTGCGTGAACTCCTGAGTTTCGACGCTGTCCACTAGTTTGACGGTGCCACTAATGAGATGCGGCCCTTCTGCCCGGAGACGAATAGAGCTTTTAACCACCGGCTGTGAGGGATCGGTGGGAACGAATCCGACTCGAGATGAGAGGAATCAATCTGCAAGTGGAGACTTTAATCTAGATTTGGTGCAACATCAGCTGGAAATCTGCTCCAGATGTTTGCTCTGATCTGCTGGTCAACAAGCGCTTGACGTAATTGGATTTTAAACAAGCTGAAAGAAATGCACTTGAAACTTTAAACATTCAATCTGAAAGACGGCGACATCTAGCAGATGGTATTCTTTTTTTTTTTTTCTAATAGACTTGTATTTATGAAAAACAAGAACATTTCGTTTCAAAATCTAGAAATACTGTTAAAGAAATTCAAACCAGGAATATAACAGGACTTTCTCACTTTGTTTCATTAAAGGGACATTTACACCATGAAGCCAACAACTTCTCTTCTTCAATCTCATCTCTCTTTTAAAGCTCTTAATTTGAAGGTTGAATATGGATTGTTGAGCTCATGCTTTTATTTTTTAAGGCTGCCAATATTTTTGCTGTACAATGAACCATCACAGATTTCCACTGACCACAAGGAGTTTGTGTGTGTGTGTGTGCGTGTGTGTGTGAGAGAGAGACAGAGAAAGAGAGTTTAAACACTGATCAAACAGAGTGTGTGTCGTACCGCTGAGGCCAAGTTGCCTTCTTTTGTGGTGCTGCTCCTTTTCCAACAGCTCGCTGAACGGGTTGGGAGGAAGAGGAGCCATCTGCTCCTCCACTGTGGGCACGTATGGCTGAGGAGGAGGCAGAGGAAGAGGAGGAAGAGGACAGGGAGAGCAAAGGGTGAGCACAGGAGCGCCGACACAAACACTGCTTATTACAAAAATAAATCAGATTACGTCTAATATTCCAGCACATATCCTGCAGTCAGTCCCATACACACATGACAAGTTACAGAACACACTCCAGCTGAGATTCAGATGCAGAAACCAGTGGAAACACTCATCATGCTCCGAATAAATCAACACTCCGTGACAATACGTGAAACGTGTCCCAAATAAATGGAAAACTGGTGCAAACTGATTAAGAGTGGCTTGGTCTCCAGGCACGGCGTCATGCGGCGTTTCAAGACAAAACCAAATCAAATGAAATGTGTGGAGGGTGAAATAAAACCCACGGCAAACGGGAATGGACAAGAGCAATGCTTGAGAATATTTACCGGCTCGTTTATCTGCCCCGGATCCTTCGACACAAAACAGCGACGAAGAAAACACAAAGAATCAGCACAGACGTGTCGGGATGAGACTTTTTAATGCTATCTGAAGTGTGTTCTGTGTTATTCCTGTAGTTTGAGTGAAGCTTTGGAGAGGTTCCTGCTTTCCATACATGCTTGTCTCCCCCTAGTGGACAAATTGAATAATAGATAACAGGCAAGAGACTCGCAAGGAGACTTGTGAAGCTTTGAGTGTCAATTCCTGTGAATCTCAGTAGATTAGAATGTAATATCAGGGATTTTCAATGCAGGAATGTTTTGTGGCGGCCATTTTGAAAACATTGAAATCATGGAGAAGAGTTGAACAGTCATCATCTCCAATCACCTGGAGAGAAACCCACAAAAGCTAATTGATGCCAAAGATGACTTTCAGAGTAATGTGCCCACGCACATGAATGGAAAGTTTAGTAGAAGGAAAAAGTGTGGTTTGAAAGTTTCCGATTGTAAAGCAAAGCCCATTCAAAAGCTCGGGGGGAGGGGAGGGAATTTATGAGATCCGAAGAACCGCATGTCACGCTGCATTGATGCAGAAGTTCATGGAATAAAGTGCCCTGAGAAAAATATCGACTCACATAAACCACAGTATTTGGAAATACTTTTAAGTAGGCCCACATTTCTGTATTTTTTCTTTTAAATATTCCAACTGATTTTGGCGTTTTCAATCAGCTGCAATCTGTCATTATTAAATCATCAATCAAAATCACTATCAGTAAATGGTTTGGATTTATTACTGTGTGTAATGAGTCCAAATAACAAGAGCTTAAAAAAAATCTCAAAAACATAAACAAGGTAAAATGCACTCTGACAGCTCTGAAAGGAAATATCATCGTTCCAACATTGGAACGTCAGATTTGGTTTTGTCAATATACACATAACTCATTCATTTTTAAAATTCTTATCAGTAGTTTACTTATTTAAAATAATAATAATAATAAAAACATTCATCAATTAATACTGTAAGGAAAGAGCACAGCAGTGAATTGCTGAATCTCTAACAAAGTCACATATTCTTGTGACAACATGCATTTTTCTGCTAATGTCAAAAGACACAAAGTGCTTCGGCCCAGAGCTGCACAAGTTTGTTCGTGGAGCCGTGACGGACTGGAAGATATTTCTCACCTGTCGCGGCTGATCGACAGGAATGCCGGCGAGGTGCTGAGAGCGTGGACCTGACGTCATCACGTCTAACCGGTTCTGCTCTCTGATCTGGAACGGGACAGACGGAAACACACCGCCAAGAGGTCAGCAGGAGTATGAAGGGTTTGTCATTTTAAGTGCTTACTTAGCCTTTAAAAGGAAGCCAACATAAACAACTGGACTCACTTTGTTCCTCTTCTGCTGCACCTCAATGGGGTCTGTGTTTAGAGGGACAAATTGATTTGGGTCTTCAATCCGGATCGGAGTTCCTGTTTCATCCGCCCTCATCCACTGCAAAAAGGTAGATGAGATCGCAGGTCAATCAGGCTGTTTGTCTACTGCTCCGCCACCAGATGGCGCTCCAGCATCGCACTGTTTGAGGCGGACAAGCAGAGGACCGTTTTTTGGATCTCACCGTGGTCGTCCGGCTGTTGCAGCGCTCCTCTCCGGCCTCCACGCTGACCTTGGTGTAGCTGTTGGGGGAGTTGAGCCAGCGCGTCTTCTCCCTCTGCTGCCGCTGCTGGAGGAACTTGAAGGGCAGCCGCATGGCCTCGCCGTCCTCCTCGAACGTGAAGGCCGTGACGGTGGCGGGGATCTCCACTTCGCTCTTGTGCCTCGGCTTCTCCCGAACGATGGGGTGTCGGTAGGCGTGGCCCGTTCTGTAGCCCTGAAAAGAGAACAGAGCTTCAAGCTCCCTTTCCTCCGATACCCCAAAACAAAATACAGCGGAACCGGTCACCTTCGGACGCCATGACATTAGAAAAATATTTGCAGTTTGATATTTATTTGTTTAAGGAACTCAATTTCTCGGTTCTACCGTAGTAGAGACTCTTCCTCCTGGGGTCCACACCAAACATTACCGTAAAAATCCTTTTCAAACATCACAAAATAAGACATAATGGTATTCCTTAAGACGCAAACAAAATAAAATAAAAACACAAAATTCAAATCAACTGCTTCAATAAGGAGATAACAAAATACTTTACCGCACAAACCACTTCAGCCACATCAGAACTCAACTACAAATGAAGAGGAATGCAACAATAAACTAAAGACGACTACATGCCAGTCTGTCCCGAACTTTCATTCATGACAGGATGAAAAGGGAGATGGACTGAAACCTTCTGACCAGCTTGCAATGAGGCATTGTGGTGGGAACAACTAACTGCACCCTGGACAAACCCACCCCCACCGGGGAAACCAGTCGGACACGGGTTGCCTTTTCCTGCTGCATGAACGTGACCTCACACAAAAACCAAACAGCAAAGTAGCTGCAGGGTTTCAAACACCACAGAGGACAAACTCTGAGCCATTTCCTCTCACGCCCATCTGCATCTTCACCCCTCCTCCTCCTCTTCATTCCTCCATTTATCCTTCGCACATTCCCATTTCCTTTCACTCTGTCGTGTCACTGCTGTTCCGTCAACTATACAACTTCTCATCTGCACCCCGCTGTCAAAGCTGACCTTTCAACTCGCCTTCGTCGCCCCGGCTGAGCTGGCAGGGAGCTTTTTTCCGGCAACATCCTGCTTTCCGCGCTCAAAGCTGGAAGCTTGAAGGGATCAAGAGGGAGAGGCCGTCTCGGCCTCCTGAACCAAGACCAATAACTTGCACAAAATGTAGGAGTCAGAGGGTTAAAGGAGAGCAAAGGATGTGTTGAGAGACAGTGGTGTGCTGGAAAAACTCTCCCAACCTTACTAGGTTTTATTTTTATTTATTTTTTTGCTCAAAATTCACTTAGCATAGCATGGGTTGGTAACAGAACTGGGCCAGTGGAGAAAACAAACGTCGTCAAGCCAACTGGGGACAAATTTGCAACAAGGCTAGCTAGCTAGCGTATGTTAGCAGGCAGCTGCTGGTACTGAAGTCACAGAAAGATATCGACTCAAACCTTTGCCTGACAGAAAAGACCCACAAGAAAACAAAACACAACAAAGAAACATTATATATATGAGAGCATGAGGTTCATACTGTGGCCATGATATTCCAAAATTTAAGACTTCTGCTAAACATTTTTAAAGCCAATGTTTTTAAATGAATACAAGACATTTTAAGGCCTGAATGTCAACTATATGTGGCCAACCTGAAATAGGCGACTTCTGATTGCACTGGATTTTATGAAATGAAAGTTGCCTGAATAAACATGTCAGATGAAAAAAACAAAAAAAAAAAACATTTTCTAATCATCTTCAGCAGCTGCTGCTTTTAACTGTACTAATAAAGAAGTGGGTGTTTTAGGCCTGATGGTTTATTCGTGTTTTTGATTTGTACAATGGTGAATGCTGTGTAAATCTTTTTATTTTTGTTGTTTATGTATTTCTGTTTGGGGGCGCAGTGGTAAATCAGACCACTTAAGTTTCCTTAAATTTGGGCTGCCGGCGATCGATCGGCCGACACATTCATGAGAAATAGATCTGATTGACTTTGTTAAAGGTCTGGGAATCAGCCACTGTCCCCGTTTGCTCTGATGGTCAACTAGCAACTTTCTTGCTGTATTTAGCAACTTTTGAGACAGAAACAAAACAGTACAGACTGAAATTGGAATCGTCAGGCTTTTTAAGAGATCAGTCATCGTCCAGAAGACTGCGATCGATGTACAATTCTTCCCGCTATTCTTGACCGAGTCAGCAGAGACGCCGCCGCTCAATGGGAATCTGCCCGACGCCAAGCAAGTCGATAAACTCACCAGATTGTCCAGCATCCTCATCAGAGACTCAAACTCCAGCTCGCCGATCTTCCACTTGTACTGGCCGCCCATGTTGACGTCCGCCGCTGCCGCCACGGCGAACACGCGGGATTTGTACTTCTCTGGGTCCAGCACTATGAGGTTGTCCACTCCTCCGGCACACGAGATAGCATTCACCTGAAAAAAACAAATAAATAAAGCGCTTTGAGCTTCTGTTGCCATTTGAGATTTCAGATCAAACACTTCAACTGGGACTCATCTCGTTTCTGCACAAAATGGACGGACGTGATTTAACAAAACCAGGGAGTCTAAGAGTAAATCAGCTCAGAACATGCGGCGCTGGACGCACAGCAAACACGCCCCGGGGGATTTATTTGCACAATTTAAGCCGGGCTTTGCAAGATGGATTAATGTTTTTCTTTTGGTTGACAGAGTGACAGTCATTTGGGAGATTTGGTGCGCTGTGTTACAGGAGACGGGGAGGAGGAGGGGCGAGCTGTCGGCTCAAATCCCCTGTGTTTACAAGCGCTCACGAAACACATGAGCAAAGACCATCTGGACTTACGTAATTTGAGGATGAAATTTTATTTGCGTTAGTAATTCGTGCCCAGTTATCGTCCAGGTGGGATTTTCCATCCTTCATTAGGATAAATAAAACCGTTACAGTGGCTTTTAATTACATAACATTGAGAAATTTTTAAAATTTTCACATTTTGTGACATTACGACGAACCTGAATGCATTTTACTGTCAACCTTGCATTGCTTTTCTTTTCTTTTACAATTGTGCATTACCTTGTCTTGGTCCATCACATACAACAAATAACTTCAACTAAAATGGTAAAAGCTAGTGTTTTTAAACACAAACAAAAATGCTAATTCAGCTTTTAGGTTTTTTTTTTTTTTTAGGTTTTTTTGTTGTTTCAGGAAATAATTGCACTGAATTTTCACAATGACATTAAAAGTTCCAGGAGCAATTTTAGATTCTTAGCACTTGCAAAAAAAAAAAAGTCAATAAAATATGTCCATATTCTTTTGGCAAGAGATAAATATTTTAATTTATTTAAAAACTCAAAAGTAGTTAACAGGGGTTTCATAAAAACAAGTGGACAGTTATCAAAAACCAAGTTGGTTTTATTCAATAGGACGTGCGACTTCTGTGGCTCAAAATGACATTGATTTATCTGGACCACGTGCAGAAATGGCTCAGTAAAACTTTTCAACATGACAAAACGTGGGGAAAAAACTAATTAGACTGCTAACCCTTCCCAGAACTCCTAATATTCCAATTATAACACAGTGTTTTGCCAACACTGTCCACATGACGAGAGATTAAAAGTGTGCAGATTGTTTTTTAAACGGCCTGAGTGGAGCGACATGCAGGCAGCTGGTGGTGAGATTAGATGCGCTGGGAAATCTGCCGGTCGGCTGAACGACGATGGGAAGCCGGGGATGTGCGGCAGTACCTGGATCTCGCAGGCGTACTGGGCGTTGTAGATGTAGTGAAAGGCCTCTTCGACGGTTTCCCCGAGAGCGACCACGCCGTGATTTCTCAACACCAACACCTGCACAAAAACCACACACACACAAAACAACTGTAGGTCAAAATGGGAGGTTTGTTGGTCTAGCGTGCTTCAACTCAGAAGCACAAAAATGATAAATGAACCCAAACACGTAGGGAACTCCCACAGGATGCGCCGCCGCTTCCTATTTCAAAACGCGCCCCGCCCTGATAATTGCGTCTTTATTTTCTTAACTTGAACTTCCAGATATAGGACTTCCTCCCGATGTATTTTTAAAACTCCTGCAGATAATGCTCGGTTTAAGATTATGTAAAAAGGCAGAGGGGAAGCCGACCTTCGCTGTCGGGCCCAGGGCTTTCTGCAGCTCCCTGCGCTCCTCCTGGTCGTCCAGGCTGCCCTGGTAGTTGTAGTAGGCGACGTCTCCCAAGATCAATGCTTCCTGGGAGATTGGCAGGAGGCCGCACTTCATCGATGACACCTAATGGGAATAAGAGAGAGGAAAAGACAGATAATTCCTCACGCCAAAACGAGCGCTTGCAACAAGGAGGAGGACGAGACGCAGCCTGGCGCTTACAGCCGCCGTGGCGGGAGTGTGGACGTGTACGATGCAGCGGATGTCCGGACGCATGGAGTAGATGGCGGCGTGCGGGCTGAACCCGGCTGAGTCGATCCGCAGGGTGGTGGAGCCCTGCTCGATCACGTCGCCGAGGATGTTCACCTTCACCTGAGAGGAAGAGGACGGACAGACAGACGGACCGTGAGCTCATTTGTTTTGGCTGCATGTCTAGATCAGGTCCAGCCATGTTTTTAATTCAATTCAGTTTATTTACGTAGCAGCAATCATCTAAATACACTTTGTCATTACTTCTCTTTGTTCTGCCACAGTAATGTAATGTCTGTCTTTATTATTATTCTATTATGTTTTTAAAATGTAAATCGCCTTAAACTGCCTTCCTTGGTGCGGAAATGTGCTATAAAAATAAACCAGACTTTACAAAAATGCCAATTTAGTCCATTCAGACATGCATACATATCAACTGATCTGAGACATCAAACAATGCAGTCAAGGTCACTTTATTGTTCAAACTATATAAAAAAAGAAAAGTTTCAGGCCAATGAAACCCAGCAGTTTGTGTTGAGTCGCTGACGCTGGCGTTGTGTTGTTGAGTTTGTTTGTTACGTCTACATATCTATAGTTATTGTCTTTTTTGAAGAATTGTTTTTCATTGTACTGCAGTCTTGCCCCTGCTTCCTAGAAAGGTTTCTCCTACCGGAGACTAATAAATTATCTTATCTCTCAGTACAGATCCTCGTCCCAGACCAGCGTTATGGACACACAGGTCAGGACATTTCTGGTAGTAATCCTGGTAATCTAGTCTATTTCCAGATATTTTCACTGCACTTTTTTCTCTGAGCTGGTTTAAGGAAAAGTGGAGCGCCCAAACGTCTTGTCAACTCCCCTGAGAGGAAAGCAGAGAGGCTAAAGGAATAACAGCAGACGAAGTAAAGTGAAAAGAAATATGCCCACGCAGCGTTGGATGCAAAACCAGACACTCTCCCTTCAACAAAGGCATTAGACCAACTCCCTGACACAAGTCAATATTATAACACAAAATGACATTATCTGCTCCTCTAGAGGAAAGAAACGGGAACACCAGTGGGAACAGTAATATACTCAGGGAATGGACATGATGTCCTTTGCATGGACAACTTCATTACCGGTCAATTAGTTGTTACTGCATCATAAGACAGAGGAGCCTTGAAGGGAAAGGGAGCTGGGAGGGAAATGAGTCAGAATCCAGTATTAATTTGATATTTTCTAAACTGTCGGTGATTTTCATGTCAAATCAATCCGAGTGAAAGAGTGCTGACTGAATCACAGCTGGAGCGCAAAACCAAGACCAGTCTGAGAGCTGTGACGAAATGAGGAAAAACCACAGCAGAGCTGATGACATGAGAATATTTACACACAGGGTTTAGTTTATCGAGAGGAGGGAAAGAAAAAGTTACGTTGTTCAACTGGCTACCAGATGAATTTTTGGTTACAGCATAACCAAACCCCTTGTTTGCACTTTTACATGACAGAGAAACACAAAGTGGAACATTATTGTGAAATGAAGAAAAATATGGGTTTTTTTTTCCTTCCAAATTTTGTGCAATAAATATCCTTCAGAAGATAAACTAGTCATCAACCTCAGAAATGTGACTTTTTACCCCTACATTTAGTTACAAGCCTGATAAAAACAGCAAACTGAGCTAAAAATAACTTTTAATGAGCATCAAACTGCATTACTCACATATGTTTGTTGAGATACATGTGAATTTCTACCATCACATCCTTAAAGTGACGATGTTACACTACTACTCAATAACTTAAGTATGTTTTTTAAAGTGGTTTATTTGTGCTTAAGGCTTTTATGTCGTAATTAACGTGTTAAACGTCGCAGACCTTGAATCAGACGTTGCTGCTTCCATGGTTTTGAGACTATCCTTTTTTTTCAGTCAAGACTGAATCGGATGGATTCAGAAAAACAGGAGAACAAATTTCAAACAGCAGGTTTATCAGACCAGCGACTGACAATATCTCGACTTGCATCACAAAGAGCAGAGGCACAGCAAATCCCGGGCTTAAAATACGCCGTTTACTCATTACATTCTTCATGGTTGGGTTTTGGTGTGAGAAGAGTTTGGACCTTAAAACCTTCATTCTTCTTTTTTATCTTCTCCTTGCCACTAATTGGGTAAAAATTCAAATGTAACTTGAGCCTAAGCAGCAGTAAAAATCCACGCAGTTAATAGATTTTGCTGTCCAGAGGGGATTGTTGGGTCGACCAGACATACACGCCCTAGTCGAAGCTCGACCTTTCCGCATCTACGTGGGTGTTTGGCCAGACGACGTTTTATTGATCCATCACCCACCCAGATGGAGGCGAATGGCACCGGTCGAGCATAAATAACATCATATTCAATTCTGCACAGACACAGACAGCTGGCAGGCTGCTGAGCATCGATTTGGTTACATCACATGTCCAAAATATCGCTTTGCTCCGTCTGTCACGCCTTTTAAATCGCGTCCTGTCAGCCAAAAACAAGCTGCACTTCTAAACTTCAAATCAAAAATAAAGGTGATGCAGCTCAGTACAAAGAGGTGGAAAAAAACTTCAGTGGTCTGGTTAAACTTGAACGTAAAATTCTTTAAAACATGTAGACAAAGATAAATGGTAGAGCTTTGAGTGAGAGAATGGATCAGCAGGAATGTGATAATCGTAATAAAATTAAATAATGCTGCGGTTATTGCGCTGTCACTATTTAACATGACAGGAAAATGTTTAACATGACTGAATTAAAGATCTGTTGCATCAAACTTCCAGATCTCTCAGGTCTTCTGGTTCTGGTGCTGCTCTACAGAACCAGAACCAAACATGAAGGTTCGGTTCTGGTTCGGCTTCTGTGCACCACAAATCTGGAACAAACTTCCAGAAAACTGCAAAACTGCTGAAGCACTGACTTTCTTTTAAATCAAGGCTAAAAACCCACTTTGATTCCTAGTAGGTGAAACATTGATCATTAAATTTGATGCTTATTTGACAAAATATAATGTTTATTGCTGTTTCATAATTGATTACTACATTATGTTTCAAGGCGTAAAGAACTTTGAATTGTCTTGATGATTAAAACTATGTAAATATACTTCATTTAATTGCTATTATTAAAAAAAACAACCTATAATTAGTGCTGAAAATACAAAATAATTATCTAATATTATAACATGTATTAATTGTCATTTTGTTTATTTTTTCTTGGAGTTGCACTAAAGACTGAACTGCAGTCTTTTTACGGTTTATTTCCAATTTTATTGCTTAATATTTAACATTTTCAGCCCTCAGGTTTTTCCATTTTCAAATAATAAGACCTTTGTTCAGAATACCAAAACTGTGAAAGTTTACAGTAAAACAGCCAAATGACATCCAGCGGCAATTTGGGGAAAAATTTCCAAATTTGACTAATTAAAAAAAAAGAAGTGATAAACCGAAAATAGTTTGTCCACTGCAGCTGTAAAACATTGAATATTAAAGATTTATTTGACATGGACTTTGCACATTATTAGCACCGCTGCAAATGCACCAAAATTACCCAAAAGGAGTCTTTTTTAAAAATCTGTCAGCCTGGGAAAGAGAACAATAAACAATAGAAACATTTCCAACGAGCCAAATTGCCTCTTTCTTAAGCAAGGTAAAAGTGTCATTTTATCAGGCAGCTGACCAAGAGTTTGCTACACGTCCTGTACAGGTGGAGGAAACTTTGGTCACGTTGGAAATTTCAGCAGTTTTGAAATCCCAACATCGAGTTCTGGCTCGGGAAATCAGTCCCTATTATCTACTTCGGATACATGACAGAAAATTCTGCTGCTAAATCAAAGTGAACTACATGAGCCAAGTCAGAGTAATTGACTAAATTCCAATAAAGTTCGCCACCCTGCAGCCTTCTCGTCTCTTTTTTTCTCTGTTATTCTCTCTACACTCATCTGACCCCGATGAAACCTCCGGAGTCCTTTTTCCGGATGACTTCCTCTTAATCTCCAAGCTTCTCCAAGTCAACCGTGTAACTAGAGACCTCAAAGCATCAACACAGGTTGAAAGAGGAGACGGAAAGGAAGGAGGGAAGAGATTAGAGAAGCAAATAAAAACGGAAACAAAACATGCAGAGAATGACGCATGTGACCAGAGCTACACTTTAATATCTTTCCCTGACTTTTATGCACAATCCTAAGAATGACTTTCAACATTTCCTAGTCATCGTTGCTACTAGAGCTGCAGGATATCAGGAAAATATTTAAATGCGATAACATTCCTAAAACAATTGAGATTACGATCAGCTCTCTTCTTCTTCTGTTTTTTATGGTGATGGCACAATGTTCTCACCATTCTCTGCCAACATTAGCACTCAGCTAGTTTAACATTGACTCAACTGTATCCTCAATATGCAGAGCCATAAATCCCTGAATATACTCTCCCATGAACGCAGCATTACTGCGACCCGGTCGCATTTTGCGGCTGCAGTACTCTGCACACTGATGTTGCAATTCAATAGACTGGGCAGCTAAAGGTTCAACTTTCTAGAATTATTTATGCTTTATGTTCTTGTCATGTGTAGCTACAGTGGACAGGCCTTGTGAAAGCAAGCAAGAATCAAGAAAGGAAGCCAAGAGTGAAGGAGGGACAGTATGAAGGAAGTGAGGACGCGTCATGGAAGGAAGCACTGAAATAAAGGAAGTAATAGGAAGAGTAATAAGAAAAATTAAAGGAAGGGAAGAAGGAAATATGGAAGAAATTAACATAGGAATTATAAGAAAGAAAGGACAACATGAAGGCAGCGGAACAGAAAAGACCGACTAGACATGCAAATGTTTCTCTGTATATCAAATTCAACACAATTTGCTGAGTAAAAACTTTGCATCTCATCGAGAAAAGAAGGAACGAGACACGCTGGAGCTCAACTTTTTCCAGTCACTACAAAGATTGACTGTCCAGAAGAAACGCCAACACAGATCACAATCAGTGATCTGTGTTGGCGTCTGACCGTTCCGCAGGTCAGACGGAGGAAGCAAAGTTCAAGGGTGAGGGCAATAACAGACCTTTGTTACCAAGACGAGAGCAGCACTTCTTTTCCCAAGGCTGGGTGATTTGAAGAATCTCAAATGCAAGACTGAATCAATAAATGAAGCTTAAAAGTCCAAGAAATCCAGAGTAACAGCAGCAGAAGCCAACAAATAAACACCTGACTGTTTACGCTGATGTTTGAGATAAAACACTGACACCAAACAATCTGTGAACCCAAACCAGAGGTAAATTATCTTCTTCCTGTTTGCTGTATCTGATGACGGACAAAAAAAAAACAAGCTACATTTTCCAGTGTCACACGTTTCTGCAGATTTCACCAACTCAAATTTAAGATGTTTTAAGAATTTTCTGAAGGCCCTCATGAATTGAATTTAAATCCAAGACATAAATGTACAAAATCAAAACTGCATACTTAGTGCACTCGTCCTCACTTTTAGCACAGAATGAATGTTGGCGTCGTTGGCAACAGAAGTGAGCTAGTGGCAAAGTCCAACGCTGTCCAGCCGACTGGAGACAATTTACACTTACCAATGCCGGATGCCAAAACGCTAGCTAGCAAGGGTTTATTAGCAGCTACTTGGCATTAGCCTAAACCGCCTCAAGTCAGAACGCAACGCAGATGTTTGCGTGTGACTCAAGATTTAAAAGTCCCACATGAAAAGTAAGAATAAGAATATACAAGATAGTCCTGCCATGACAAAATGTAGGACCTGCGATTAGCCAGCTTACATATTTCTCTAATTTAAGACTTTTTAAGGCCTTCAATACAAATACATGGATTTAAGACTTTTGAAGGATGCGGGAACACCTTGCGTCAACACGAGTGGGGCCAGTGACTCCGAACATAACAAATACAGATAAACCCAGAGGAAACTTTCTGTAAATGAAAGATTCATATCAGGCGTACCTGACATTTCTCACATTTCTCAAGTCATCGGCAGCAGAGCAGCAGTAAGAACTAGAGAGCAGATCACGCTGCAGCAGCCTGAACGTTTCTTACCAGGTTTGATGCAGACGCTTCAGCGAATGACAGACCTCTGGGGATGATGAGTATGTGGTCCTGTTCTTTACTCACTCGGCCCTAAACGGGGAAACGAGAAGGTCAGATGTTGGTCTTTTTTGAAAAAATGTCAACATAAAGCAAAGAGTGAATTTCTCTAAAATCTAGTTTCCTTTTTTTGTGTTCCTTCGGACAAGCTGCTCTGAAATGAATAACTGCGAGCTAAGAGCGCTTATGTTTTTTTGTTCAGATATTTTCAAGGAACATGCAGTTCACAGATTTTTCTTCCAATTAAACACCAGAAATAAAAACAGTTTTTTTTTTTTTTCATGATTTAAAGATTTGAGAAATAGCCATAAGTTCATATTTCCAGCTATATTTGGTGGTATATTTGTAAGCATTAAATCACTGAGTCCATTTGCTCCGTGGGCATTTCAGTCACTCAATCAGACCTTGGTAAAAATGAATAAAAAGCCAGAAAATAGCTAAATATTTTAGTTCATTACCATAATCTTTAAGTTAAAAATGTGTAAAAAAAAAAAAAGATCTCATGTTAGAAATAATTGTTGGTGGCCATCATTAATGGCTTCTCCACAAATCTTACTACATAAATGGGGCATTTTTTAATTTTTATTTATTTTCCCTGCACTACAGAGTTAATGTGACAGTAGCTGCAATAAGAAATGCAATTAAATTTGCAGGTCAGTTTTGTTAACAAAAAAAAAACCCTAACATTTTTAACATGTATTTCTTCCCCCACTTACTGAACATACTCAAATAAAAGCTGTTTATTTCCACTGAGAGATTCTGCTACTCCTACAAGAGATTTATCTATGTTGAGGCTTTTTTCTCGTCTTCACCGCATACGGCAGGCGCTGTAGTGTGTGTGTGTGTGTGTGTGTGTGTTGTGTGTGTGTGTGTGTGTGTGTGTGTGTGTGTGTGTGTGTGTGTGTGTGTGTGTGTGTGTGTTTTACTTACTGTGATGTAGGAGTTGGCGAAGTGGGCCCAGCTGAACAGGTCCACCAGTCTGTAGAGGCTGGCCAGTTTACAGCGCGTCAGCTTCTCGCCTTTCACCATGGAGGCGAACTCCACCCCGAACAAGTCATTGATGGGAGTCACCATGCCCAGACCTAAGTCAGAGAGGGAGGAAAACAATTTTTAAAAGATAATAAAAAAAGGCAGGTTATAAATGCTGTTTGTATGGATGAGGAGGTTTTAGAAAGAAAAACGAACTTCACTCAGGAACTAACCCTTCTAGACACATCTGGATTTTTATCTTCTGATCCATCGGGCTCCTCGCTGGAACCCTAAATTACTCTGCGATGTTATTCAACCCCGACCCCTCCTCGGCCGTCAGCCTGAGTATCTGTTAAGGAGGATCTGAAATGAACTGCTACATTGCCTTCGACGTCTAATTCGGCATTAGCTGTGCATTCCTGCGCTCTGATTGGAAGCAGACTTCGCATATGGACTCTTGGACGAAAACCGGAGGAGGATCAAAACGCGGTGAAGTATTCCCGGCTCTTCCGGAGTCTGGAGTCGGGACGTTTAAGAGCGTTGAAGCCCTCAGGCCCTCGTTTGGAGAAGGATCCCTGTTCTCCCGATACTGATGCCGTGACGTTTTTCTTTTTCATTTTTATTCTTTGAGGCCGATCCAAAGCGGTTGCTATCATGAAGTTTTGTGTCTGGTTACTGTGGGTGACGGGCCAGAGCACAACAAGCACTTACTGAGAGGGGAAGTGTTGAAGCCGGCCACCGAGCTGGCCATGAAGAAGTCAGCGATCTGCCGGAGGGCCAGCAGTCCGGTCGGGTTGTTCCCTTTCCGCTGCTGCTCCTGGATCAGACACTCCAGCTCCTCTTTGAAGGCCTGGAGACAAAAAGACACACGAGCCGAGTGAAACTTGTGTTCTCTCAAATCTGTTTTCAACGCCGACACCTCAGTGAAACCGGGCTAGCTTTGCTACTTTTTTTTCACAGATTTGGCTACAATTACAAAATTTGCACACATCGATTTCCATTTCACAATCACTTTTTTTTAATGGGACTTTGGTCAAAAATATGAGCATAAAGAAGGTTCACCATGTCACAATCTGGAGCTGTTGAACTGGACAAATACAACATACGGTGCTTTTGAATAAATGCAAACTCTTTAAACAACTTTTCTATTTGGCGTATTATCCTACCTTGATTTTACATGCAGAAGTAAAAAAATGAAACAAAAGTACTTTTCATGATTTGTTCTGTTTTAAAAAGTCCAGTTCAACCTGAATTTTAACTTGAAGATGTTTTTTAGGAGTGCATTTTGTTAAAAATGAAACAATATTAAAACCACATAATGCATTAAGCATTATTAGATTTTTGTCCAATTAGAAAATTGAGGATGAAAATGAAAACGTCGATGTATTTTTTTTTCATTTTAATTGCAAGACTGAAACAAGTGACTAAAGCGAGCTCTTCTTCAGACAGCAGTGTTCAGAGTGGCAGCGCTGCTAAGCATTGTGGGTGTTCTGCTAGCTTATGGGCACATTATGCCCATAGAAACAACACATGCACAGAAACAGTGCTGGTTAGTTATTATTTCATTAATATTTCACAAGGCGTTGATTTTGCCCATGTTCACATACATGATTAATGACTCTGTTTACTTGAAATTACTGCTATTTTAATTTTAACAGAGTTGTGGATGGGAGGTTGAAACAAATATTGTAATTTCTTTTTTTTAGGTAAATGTTCAAACATGAATATTTTCAAGTTAAAAGTAGGGCAGCGACTAACAATTATTCTAACAACCGATTAATCTGATAAAAAATGTAGTGCAGATTTACATTTACCTCTGGAGACTGATGAATTACTAAATCAGTTCATTTGTTTCAATAATCGATTGATTATAATCGATCCGATTATTGATTGGGACCTAATTAGCATTTTTTTTCTTCTTTAATTTAAGAAAGTCTGTTTGGTGCAGAGAGCTATAAACTGGAAATACAAAACGAATACATGGACAGGACGGTGAAACGTGATGGGGCGGAGCCTCGCAGGCAGGATGGCGGTAAAAAGTAGAAACATTCAGAAAGAAACCATGTCCAACAGGACGACTGAGCAGGATGTGTTTAATCGTAGATTAGAGATCCTCCGTGGGTGTCAGTCGGATCAGCATTGGCTGGCCACACAACAAGACGTGTCAGGATTGGCCGAGAGGCTACCTTACTCTTCTACGTTGCCATTGGCTTATGCGTGTGAATGTGCGTGCGTGTCTTTGTTGCTAATCCTCATGTTCAGGCCACACTTATCTGCTGAGTTCAGGGACTCCATTTACTGCATTTCATGTGGACAGTGTCTTATGTAAGAGCAAAAACAAACAGCTGGCCGAACGACCATTCAGCACTGACAGATTTTACGTTTCAGAGCAGGTTTTCTGATCATTTTTTTGCTAAGTATGAAACAATAGAGCAATTATGAGACTTGTCGGGGAATATGAAAATCAAAGCAAGACCAGACTGTAGAGGTAACAACACAAAACATCACAGCAGGTATCTGTTGTCTGTGACTTTCAGGAAGGTGCACCAGCCTCTGTTTACCTGCTAATGTCATTAAAGCTGTGACCAATGCCAGGGATTACCCAGGTGGAAACAGCTTTATGATTATGCTACTGCAATCCACTACAACATTTAAGGTTTCACACACTTCATTTTGGGTAACTCCATCGAGATTCTTCAAACTAAGCTTCATGGTCCAGATCAGCTCCTGACTGTTCATAAATATCATTGAAAACCAAAAAGGCGACTGCAGAGCTTAGGATGAAAAGGTTCTCTGCTGCTGACTTACAAAAATAAAAAAACAGATCTCTTTTACAGCAGTTCACACTTTCCATTTTATTTCTGGGACGTTTTTCACACATTTCTTTTTTTTTTTTTTTTTGCCATTTCCTGGTCTGTAGACATAATCTTGGGCAGAAATCACTTTGTTTGAGCTGCTGCTTAATGTTGACTAAATTTGGCTCAACGTTTATTGAGGTTTTCACCAGCTGCGCCTCCACCTATCCATTAAAATTCCAGGCTACAATTTGGAAACACTCCAACTACAAAAAGGTTCCTTGCTGCTACATTTAAGAGTATGACAAAATGATGAATGGCAATCCAATTATTTAACAACAAGTAGTTCCAACTATCATAAATGTTCACATGCAAGTACCAAGAGGTTTAAATTAAATACCAAACCTGTTGCAGGATGAAAAGACTTGTGAGGGAAATTATGCTACTGTAATTATAGCAATCATGCTGCAGGATGAACCAAACAATCCTCAGCTGACAGAAAACACAGTTTTAAGCTTGATCAATAACATGATCACAAGTGTGAATTAACCAATCAGAAGCTTACAAACCAAGACATCTTTGGTTTTCCAAATGTCTTAAAGGCACAGGTGGAATAAAGAAAACACTAGAAAACAGGTCATGACGGTTTTACGTGCAATCACCTCCATTATGGCAACATCAAATATCCATGCCTTCATTTCATCTCGCCTCTAACGCAACAGATGACATGCTCCCAGTTAGAGCTGCGTGCAATTACAGAAACGAGTCCAACCCGTTAGTTTCCCCTTTCCTCTGCTCACTCATCCCTCCAGTAACCTCATGAGAAAGCCCCCTCAGGAGAGACCGCCCCCCTTTTTCTTTCTGTGTTTTTGTTAAAAGCAGAGCAGCCCGAGTGTGACGGGACTCATACGGTCCACACATCGCTGCTGGTCCTGAACACCAGCCAGACATTCCTCCGTCCCAGGTGGTGAGGTTGCCTTAGTTGCCCGGTTGGTTGCGAATGCAGGTTTTGTTGCTGAGTGAGAGTTTATGAGACAATTTTACCAGCAAAAACTTGAAAAGTTTGCAATGAAAGTCTGTGACTCAACAAAAAAAGTTGTTTGTGTGCATGAGAGATTTGACTGGTTGATTCTGGAAAGGGGAAACTTCCAACCATTAAGTTGTACACAGGTTTTTGAATTGGAAGTTGGGCAAGTTGTGATAATTACACGCCAACAATTTGCAACTGACACACAAATACAAGCCTCGTTTGGTGTCTGGGGCGCATTCACACCAGCCCTGTTTAGTCCACTTGAATTAAACTCTGGTTTGTTTGTCTATAAAGTCCGGTTTGTTTGGACCTTTCTCCTCCCCTCATGCCGGGGAGGAGAAAGGTCTTTCACAGGGTTTGGATCGTTTGACAGTGCAGTGTGAAAACGAACCACAACAGCTGAAAATGTTAGAAATGTTGCATTGTTGGTCCCCAATTCAACTGAGTCCACCAAACTAGAAGGTGTGAAAACACCAGAAGATTCTGAGTCGAATTTTATTTGTACAGCATCGGGTCTTCAAGAAGAGCCAAAGGAAAGATTTTGGTTCTAGTAGCTCGAAAAGAATTACCTAAAAATAGCAAGAGAGTTTTGAAAGGAGGAGATTAGCCTGTGGTTCTGGTCAGGTGTTGATGAGCCAACACCAGCAGATGACATGGCAGCTCAGGTAATCATTTGGATTCTGTGCCTCACTGCTCGTCACTTGGATCGGAAAGGATCAGTTTGGACCACTGAACCTCTGGTTCTGTGAAGGTTTCTTCCATTCAACCTTTCATTAATACGCTTTGATACTCTGAACTGACATTTTGAGAACATATAAGCCTATAACGACTTCACAGAAATAAGTTCTGCATGAAATGAGGTCAGGAGATATTAATAGACCTTTTGAAGACATTCTCATTTGTGAAGAAACAACTAAACATTACTATGTGCAAACTCATAGAGAAAATGCATGTTTGTTTGTTTGTTTTTTACACTCAGATACCAAACTTTTCAAACTTGCATCAGCTTGCAGTGACACCAATCAGAAACCATGCGAGGCGCCATGACAACACACATCAAGAAGCGTTTAAGCATCTGGTTCCTGATATGTGCGTGCGCGTTCTCGGAGGGATTATGACAGCGGGGATTAGATTCCTCTCGTCGAAACAGATTAATCCAGGAACATAAAGTGGAACGTATAGTTAATAATTCAGAGAATCCCTCCAACCCCCACGACCCCTCAACATCGTGTCGCTCACACTCACGGACGCACATCTGTAGCAGTGAAAACAACATCACATGACAGCTGTGATGTTTTGGTTTTTTTTGAAGCCTTTCATCACATCTGCTCCTTTCAAAGGCAAAACCAGAAAGTCAGATGAGAGATGAAGTTACGTCATTTCAGCAAACAGAAATAATATCCGTTCCTATGCCAGAGTCAAATTATTGGCTGAAGCGCAACAGTAAGCAGGTTTGTTCACTCTTGTTAAATCAGATCAATAAGGAAATGGATATTCAGCTTTATTGCTAATCTTTTAAAATGAGCAAAGGCATTAAAACGTGGTCATGTTGAAAACGTAAAGTCGAGTGAAAGAGAAAAACTCAATTTGATATTATGTGCTGTTTTGATGTTCTGCTATGAGTCCTCATTACTTCACTTGACTGGAAACCTTGTGTTGGTCTTGCCTTTGCTTAAATGACAAAAAGGCGATAGAGTGGGAATCCCTACTTTTTTTATTTTTACCAAAACAATTTTTATTTTTTTTTGCACGTTCTCTGCTCTCTCCTGTCCTGCTAACCTCTTTTTTTCTTTTCACTGCTGACAGTAAAACAGTTGCACGTCGTTCTTCGGGGAAAGAAACTTGTTACTTTTACTTTCCTGAACTGAAGCCAGTCGGACGCGTCTCTGCTTGCTTCTTCCATGAAGGTTGTGTCACTTTAGATAGCTTCAGCATTACATCAGCCACACACACATTTATGTCTTCATGTCGAGTGCTATCATCATAATAACGTGCTAATTCGAGAATCAAACAGCTGGAGAAAAC